CCAGGGCCCTGGAGGACAAGGCTCAGAGCTGCAGCCGATCGCCCAGAAAGGAGTTGGCGGGACACAGGCTCTCCTCCGGCTAGATCTCTCTCAAGTGTTCACTTGGGGCAGGAGTCCCCCATGCTGGTCAGCCGGGAGGCCCCAGGCCTGGGGAGGCCCCGCCTTGTCCTGTAAACAGGACCACCCCCTCTCCTCCCCCAGCTCTCTTGCTGGAGGCCTGCCCCCCCCCTTCGCCCTGGGAAGGTTGGGGGGGGGGGGTTGTCAATCCCAATCCCGTGCCAATGAATAAAAAGTCTCCTTTCTTCCACTGCTGTTTTTTGGTTCATTAAATTTTCCACAGATTTGCAGAGAAGAAAACATAATCAATAAACCTTGACAAAAGTGAACATGTGAAAAAGACCAGAGAATGGAAAAGCGAGATAAAAGTGATATCCGATCACAGATTTCCGAGGCAGATGACCAGCTCCTGCTGCTGAAGAATCTCAATGGGCCATCGGCCTGGAGCCTCACTTTCCTTCCATTTGCTGCGACTCCTCATTCAAGACAATAGTAAAAGCACTAAAACTGTTTTTCTTATGCTAATGGTGAAACCCAGCACTCAGTTAAAACACACTTCCCAGGAACCCCTTTTTTTTTTTTTTTTTTAACAACACACATGTGCACAGACACAAAACCACATTAACTAGTTTCATTTAAACCCAAATCTCAAAAGCAGTTTAATATGTACTCTTTGGTCACATCTAAAATTAGTTATTCCCCACCCCACCCCCAAAGTTTTTTAAGAAGCCAGAAAGTAAAACTGAAACAGGGGTATTAGGGATTCTTCTGATGATGAAAGAATTGGGCAACAGAAAGACACTAAACAAATAGAGAGTATATTTCCATCATTGTGCACAATACGTAATATTAAATATAGTTATGTAGATTAAGAGTGCTTCGGTCATCCTGAAAACCAAAAAACAATGACCTACGTTTTGCTTTTTTAAATCCTTGATAGTCCACAGCAAACCCTGAGATTAATTTTAGAGGAAATAATTAGCACCGAAGCTGGCATTATTAAACGTTTATTTGAAAACACAAAAGTGTCAAAGGTGTCACTAAAAGGTCCCTATTAAACACCAATGTCCATGACCCTTTCTCAAATCTGCTTTTAAGCAAGCCTGAGAAAACAATCACAGAGCAGTTTCCCCCTCTTTAGAAGTGAGACAGTTTTGCAGGCTGAAATGGCTGGGGCTTCCTGGTTCTTGGAATAATCACCAATCCTGCTCTCCCGAATTTTCTGGAATCTGAGAATACTATTTCTCTCTTTGGCATTCTTCATGTGTTTCATTTGTCGGTGCCTCTGACACTTAGTGAAAAGAAGAAAGGGGGGAACTGCTTCCCTGGGGTTCCTTTTCAAAGGGCCCTGGCCCAGCAGGAAGGGCTGCAGCTGTCCACAGCAAGGTCCACCTGGCCTGACAGCTCCACTTGCACCAGGTAGATCCTCCCACCCCAGAGCCTAAAGAAGCAAGGTGGGTTTGCTCTACCACCCTGGAGTGCCCAGCACAAGAAAGGAAGCCCTGCTAAAACTCTTTCCCGGACCAGGCCAGCTGCCCTGCCCACAGAGACACAAGGGTGTAGGACTCTGGTTTTGAGCTTTAACAAACCAGCTGGGCGTGAGGGGGTCACACAGGCTTTTAAAGTGCACACGACAACCTCCTGGTCTCATTTAAAGGGAATTGCTGGCATCTGTGCAGTGAAGTTTTCCCCTGGGGTGACCAAGGGGTCCCCTGATGGAAAAAGGGTGTTTATTAGGCAAATATCCAATTTTGTCTGCCTGCCTGCTGAATCCCCTGGTTTGCTAATCCAGCCCCAGGGGCTGCACTGTGTACAGGGCACTTGTGGGAGTACAAAAAGCGTGAAGTATTTGTGTATTTTTCAGTCTGTAGTGCAAACAAGCCAGCTACAGTACACAGCCCGCAAGACCCCCACAGCCCACAGCCAGGCCATGAGCTGCTGACCCATAGCCCTGAGGCCCCCTCTCTGACCAGGCAAGTCAAAGGATTTCCTCTCTGTTCAAGGAGACTGGTGCATCCTAAAAAAGCTAAGGGAATTTGGTTAACTTCTTCAAGGTGGGCTGAGACCGAAGTTCCTTCTAAAGCCTCATTGCCACCTCACACCCCCCCTGGGGAAGGGGGAGTCCTGTGAGTTTGGGAGCAGCCTGGAAGCCCAAGCTCAAGGAATCAGGACCCTGTGCAAATTCCCATCACATTAATTCCCAAGGGGATAAACCTGTCTGGTAATACTGATCCTTGATGAGCCCAACCATGGCTTAGGAGGGCTTTCTCCCTCTCGTCCTCATGCTCACCAACTGACTTTGCAATCGCACCAATCTGACCTGTCTCTAGATGAGACACTAGACTCAAGACAAGGCAGGTTCCCCTAAAGGCTATATCCTGGGTGAGTGGGCATCTCTGAATGCAGGACCTTCCCTGTATTAGTTGAAATTCCCCTAGAATCAGGAAACAACCTCATCAAATTGGAGTGGTTCTCAAAGCAAGAGGGGAAATACAAAATCACCCTAAATCTTACAAAATATAATGAACTTTAAGACTCATTAGACAAGTGATAACTTTCCATATTGGCTGGGTTTGAGCAGGACTTGTGTCCCGGAGAGAATCTCCAAAATTCCTGGAAACTTTAGGGAGAGAAACAGCAAGTCTAACAAATGGAAAGCAAGAAAGATGAAGAAAGAAACTGGCAGAAGGAGAGAGGCCCTGGGGAAGGGGGGAAGTGCATCTTCAGGGCCCACAGTCTACATTCTAGAACTACTGCCCCAGGACAGACCAGAAGCTGAGAGAAGTCTTAAAGGGCCTCAAAATTCAAACCAGCCAGACTTGGCTAGGGTGCTCTCTCCTCCACTCCCCTCCTCTTCCCTGGGGAGTCGGGTCCAGGTAGCACACAATGAATACCCCCGCAATGAGCAACTGCAGAGCAGCTCCCAAGCCCAGGGAGGGCCTGCCCCCAGAGCAAAGGAAACTCCCAGCCAAGGTAAGGAAATGGGCGGGGAGGGGGCTCTAGGGGAGGTGACTAGAACAAACAGATCGCATCAGAGAGACTTGTGACAAGCCCGCCTATTCCGCCGCTATCACCCGCTGTATATTTTGGATTTCACAGTTTATTTACTTTACTTTTTGGCACCAAGCCCCCTGAGCATGCCAATACAATATTTGTTTAAACACTATTTTATGCCGCTTGCGAGGGAAACGTTTACTTTCAAATTCTCCAACATCCCCCAGAGCCTCGTCTGCAAACAGCATACGACCGTTTTACAACTGCTCCCTTTATCCGAACCTGTTGGGATTAAACCTTCACACGCCCAGCAAGGGCGGCAGGGCTGAGGGCCCAGGACAGCGCCGCGGCCACGGAACTGCAAAGCCGCGCGCCCAAAAGGAGGCAGGAGCTGACAGAGTGCAAGGAGGCGCAGGAAACACCCCCAGAGCACGGGACCTGACTCAAGGGAGAGGTCTACTTTTCTGGCTGGGATCAATTCTGGGAGCCACACAGCAATTACACAAAAGTGAGGGCAGTGGGGATAGGAACCCTAAGGGGAACCCAAGGCTGCTGAGCACCTCTGCGGCGGGTCATCCTGGTGAGGTGCGCGGGCTCCATCCCCAGTTCCCAGCTCAATAGAAGTCGGTTTCCTAGGAAATGACAGCAATTACAGCCGGGCTGAAAAGGCGCGGAGTTGGGTGGACTTCCAGCTCCTTGGCGAGGCGCGCGCACGCGCGCGGACACACACACACACACACACACACACACACACACACACGCAAGCACACGCTCCCTTCCCCCACCCCTCCCTACACCCGCCCCCCCTCCCGCCCCCGTCGGGGGAAAACGCTCCCCTCTCTAAACCCTTAATAGGATTGGCGCCCAACTCTCTCCGCGCCTCTCCCCATCCATCACACACAGATCAAGTTGCAGTAGTGGATTTTTCAAATTCCTCAGCAAATATACTTGTTGAGAGATTGTCCCCGGGTTGGGGGTGGGGGGTAGGAGGGAGACGGTGAGTGGGGGGCGGGGACGAAAGGGAAGGGTGTGGGGGCCCGGACCCGTCAAAGGATTACGTGGGGGATCCCTTCGGGAAGTCAAGCGAATCTCTGGGCCGAGAGCAGAAGAGGAGGAGGAAAAAGGCCAGAAAGGAGGCCTCAGAGGAGAGTGCCGCCGAGGGGGAGGGGGCGACAGGGCCAAGCGAAGGGGAGCAAGGAGCAAGGAAGAAAGAAAGGCCGGGCTGCCGGACGCGCGGCGCGGAGAAGTGGAGTTCGAAGTTCACAAGTGGCGAGCCCCTCAGTACACAGCACACTCCCGCAGACACGCTCCCACTGCCCACCTACGCGAGCTTCCAGGCATCCCAGCCTCCGACGCCACCCCCCAGCCTCCGACGCCACCCCCCACCCTCCGCAAAACGGCTCTGGCTTCCGCGCGCGGCGACCCGGCAAAGGCCCGGTTGGCTGTGCACCCCACGAAGAGAGGCGCTTTCTCCCAGGTAGGGACGGAGTTGCCAAGTCGACCCACCGACCACTAGCACCTAGTCCAAGACCCCCCCCCCAAGTCCTCGCCCTGCTGCGACACAACCAGAAGCGGGGTCAGTCCCATTAGCCTCCAGTCGCCCTAAGCCCGGTGTCATGATCCCGTACAGCGGCATCAGTACCCGGCCGAGGGATCCTCCGAAGACGGCGCAGCATCCCGATCGGCCTGGGCTGAGCCAGGATAGGAGGCGCTTCGCAAGCACAAGCAAGCAAAAGAAGGCCAATGCAACTTTACCGAGGAGACAAAAGTTTGCCTCTAGCACGCAGGTGGCCTCTCGGGCGCCGGGCAGCGGTAGCAGGCCCCCATCCCAACTTGGCTGGCGCGGCGATCGGCCGCGGGCTGCCTTGTGCCGGGGCTCAGGATAGCCTGGGCGGGGCGGGCCAGGCAGAGGAGGGGACCCAGGCAGCCCCGGGCCAGGCAGAGCCTACCGCTGGCGAGCAAGCAGCTCTGCAAGACTCCGTCGCGCCGCGCGGCCCGCGCTTCTTCCCCCGGCTTCTCCTGCTTCTCCTCGCCTTCCTCCGCGTCCGCTGTCGCCGCCGCCGCCTCCCTCTCCTCCTCGAAGTCTCATTGATGGGAGTTTGAAAAAAAGTCCGCGGAGCCGTGCTGCCTCGGCTGGCGAGCGCCGGCACTCCTGCAATCCATCAGCGCCTCCGGGACGGCGCAGCGCCCCCGCGCGCTGGGTTTTGGCACACTCGGGCGCCGATCGCCTGCCCGCGCCGCGCGCTCCCCGCCCTGGGAGACTGGGGGAGGACCCGGACACCACCCGGAGAGGAGAAAGGGGCGGCCGAGGACTCTCCCCCACCCCAGCACCGCTGAAAGAAAGCACCCCTACAGGAAAGTTCGCGCAGGAAACGAGACAACGCGCCAGTCTCCAACACTTTTTTAAGGCGCCGGAATGGGGGATTGGGGAGTGTCTCTAACTCAAGTCAGATGAGCTCCGGGGCTGAGGCGCTGGGAGTGCTCTGTTTTCAATCTCTAAAATGCCCTCGCCCTCCCCACTCCCTCTTCCCTCTGCCGGGAGATGCCCGGGTCGTAGTTCCCAGGGCGCCTGTCCGGGCGCCGGAGCGGAAGCCCAGGACCTGAAGGAAGGGAGGCGGGGGATGGGTCCAGGAGGACCCTCTTCCCGAGGGTAGCGAGCGCAGGTGCCAGGGGTCCCGGTGCGCCCCCCGTCATGGCTCGCACATGTTGCCTTTTGAGCGCGTGTTGGTGAGAAGCGAAGCAGCCGTCTAGGTTTGGTGCGTCTGTTTTGTAGGGAGGATTTTTGTTTCGTTTTGTTTTTTACAGACTCCACTGGAGCTGCTGCAGCCAGATGGAAGTAATCAGAACCCAACAACAACAGAGGAGGAAGAAAAACCCTCACCGAATTTTCAGGCCAAAGTGTGGAAGGGACTGTGTGTGAAAGACCTTGCTTTAGCAGGGGCGAGGAGCCCTGCACCCTCAATCTGGGCCGCCTGACTTGGAGAAGCCCACCAAGCTCTTCAGGGTTCCTGACCCACCGACTGCCTCCTGCGGAAACTTTTTATATATTTCTTCCTAGAGTTTGCAGAACACTTTACCTTGGGGCCGGGTGACATGTTCTATTTGCTTTGTATTATTTAACCTTCATACCCTGTGAGTTAAGATCTCTTCTTCCCTCTTTATAGGTGAGAAGACTGAGGCTTAGGGAAGTTGAGAAACTTGTCTAGAGTCAGAACACTTGAACCAGATCCTTTCTTGAGTTCAATTAAATAAATATGCCCACTGAACACAGTTGTGCACGCCTGTAATCCCAACACTCAAGAGTCTGAGGCAGGAGGAAGGCAAATTTGAGGCCATCCTGAGCAATTTAGTGAGACCACATCTTAATATATAATAAAAAGAGCTGGAGGGGGGTTCCGTGATAGAGTGTCCCTGGGTTCAATCTCTAGTACCAAAACAAATGTTCATTAATCAGTTAATTAATTTAAAAATGCACCCGGCTGAGGACTGTGGGAGCATCCTTCTCTTCATTCCCTTTTCCTATCTGTAATGCAAAAGAACCAATTCCACCCTCCCCCCCTTTTTACCCATGTAATCCCCCCCCACACACACACACACACACCCCTACCCCTGCTCTACCACTGAGCTACATCGCCATCCCTTTCTATTTTGAGACAGAGTTCCACTAAATTGCTGAGGCCATCCTCCAACTTGGGATCCTCCTGCCTCAGCCTCCCAAGTTGCTGGCATTACAGGCTTGGGCCACTATGCCTGACCCATGTAATCCTCTTTTTTTGGTAGCTCTCTCCTCTTATCTCTGATCATCCTCTAAGCCTATCTACTTTTCTTTCTTTCTTTTATTTCTTTTCAAAGTGCTAGGGATCAAACTCAGGGCCTCACACTCTACCACTGATCTGTCCCCCCAGCCCCTGCATTATGACCCCATTTCTCATTCCTAATTTACCCCCCCTTCCTTTCCTTCTCCTGACATTCATTTATATGAGAGGAACCACAATTTCTTCTTGACCTAGACGGGGGAAAAAATGCAAAGAAAAATATTAGAACAATTTGATGCTAATTTTGTTTTCCTGAAGTAGGCTTTTCAGATGGAGAAAGAGAAAAAAAAAACTGGCAGTATTTTCAAAAGCAATACTTGTAGAAGCCAAGGCATTAAAAGGAGGTGAAGTCTGAAAGGGGCTTTTTCTTTAAAAATGATCAGATTCACCATTCCTCCCTGCTATTTGTTTAAATTCCTGCTGAGCTTTCAGAACACAGACTTAAAGGAGACAGAAAAAGTAAACCCTCCCTCCCTCCCTCCTTGGCCATATTTTAATGACCCTGTTCATATCTACCCTATGAAGTGGGAATCATTTCTTGCTGCTGGAAAATTAGCCGCGCTGGCTGATTACTTCATTACAAGCATGTCTCTGTTGGTTGTCTTGTGTTGTAAAGTTGGTGAAGAAGTTTAAACAAATCAACATTTGGAGCTATTTCCTTTTTCTCTGTTTTTCTTCTCAGACCAGCTCAACTCCTGCTAGAATCCGGGCACTCACAAAACTTTTCCCAGCTTATTTTGGCAAGGAGTCTGTGGAGATGAAGATGGAATGTTTTTGGTTAGAGGAGACTTCTGTAGATACCATGCCTTTTACTCTTTAGATGGTCAGAAATTTGGGCCTAATAAGAGCAAGAGAAGGTTTGGAGTGGACGCACCCTGGTGTGGCGGAGGAAACTTTCTCGAAGGTGCTGGAATACCCGTTCCTCCTCCCAGATCTGGTACTGAATGTATGACCTGGGAAGGTTCAAGTTCATTCAATCCACAGCTTTGGGAATGCCAGGACTATGCTATGTGGCATAGCATAGTGGACACCCACAAGATCCTTCCCCTGGTGGAACATATCTTTCAGTGATAACAACAAACACATATATTATCACAAACTGGGTAAATACAAAAGGCAAGGCTCTCTGAAAGGCAGTGATCGGAAACCTGAGGGATAGGGAAAACAATTCAATCCCAAAGAGAAGAAGCTTCTCCATTATTTTAGTGATCTAGTTATAATCATGTTGCTTAATGACAGGAGTATGCTCAGAGAAATTGGGTCCTCATTGGGCAATTTCATCATTGTGCAAACATCTTAGAGTGTACTTACACCAATCAAGACGTGTAGATTCACATGACCTTTCAGCACAATCACAACATGTACTGGTGTAACACAGCATACTTTCACAGTGAACTTTTTTTTTTTGGAGGTGGTGCTAAGAATTGAACCCGGGGTCTCACACATACTAGGCCAGCACTCTACTATTGAGCTACATCCCCAACGCCCAGTAACCTTTTTATTTTAATAAGTAGAAAGAGTAACTCTAATGATAAAACATAGTAAGTACCCAAACCAGCAATGTAAGTGTTTATTATGATTATCATATATGACATACTATACATAATTGCATCTCCTATATTTGCATGACTGTTAGTACAGTAGGTTTTGTTTTGTCTTTTAACACCAGCATTACTGCACTCGGGAGTAATGCGTTGCTCTAAGACATCACAATGACTATTCCATCATTAGATGATGGGAATTTTTCTGCTCTCTTACAATCTTCCAGGACCACTGGGTTATATACAGTCCATGGTTGACCACTGTTCAGTCCCCGGGATAGGTATGTGGCTGTCCTGGGGTCGTAGAATAAATCACTCCCCAAACAGGCAAAACCACCATGTAGAGGTGGGGGTATGGTGGGTGGCAGAGCGCTGGCCTAGGTACACAAGGCTCAAGGTTCCATCACCAGCACTGAAAAGGAAGGAAGGAAGGAAGGAAGTCCTCAGGGTCTGGATCTGGAACAAGTTACGACAGGGACAGTTTCTCTCTGCTCCAATACCAGGGCCTCAGCTGGAAGCCATCAAGGCTGGCAAGCTGGGATGTCTGAAGACTCTCTCAGGCATGTGCCCAAGGGGCAATGCCGGCTGCTGGCCAGGGGTCCTCAGTTTCTTCCCCTCTGCAGTCATCCATGTGGTCTCTCTGCTTAGGCCAGTGTGGGTCACTCGCAGCATGGCAGTAACTGAATACCAAGAATGAGCTTAACAAGAGCTGGCCACACAGAAGCCCATGCCTTTTGGAACCTCAGAAGCCACACGGTATCACTCAGCCATGTTTTATTCATTGAGGCACACACAGAGTTCTGCTTAGGTTCAAGGGGACGGGAAACGAACACCACTTCCTATGGAGAACTGCAAGATTCTGAAAAAGCATCTAGGACCAGAAACGTTGCTGTGACTCTTTCTGGAAGACAGGCACACAAAGCTAACTGGAGATACAGGGAAGGCCAGGAAAAACAGGCCCCGAGGTGGCCCTCCTGCTTCCTCATGTGTCTTGGCTACAAAGTTGTGCCTCATTCTGTTCTATTAAGAAATGCCTTAGACTGGCCTCTCTCTCTCTCTCTCTCTCTCTCTCTCTCTCTCTCTCTCTCTCTCTCTCTCTTCTGGGGACTGAACCTAGAGGCGCTCTACCACTGAGCCACAAGCCCAGCTACATTGCTGAGGCTGACCTCCAACTTGCAATCCTCATGCCTCAGCCTCCAGAGTCCTGGGATTACAGATAGGTACCACCATACCCAGTGGAGTGGCTAATTGGTAAATAACAGGAATTGATTTCTCAGAGTTCATGAGGCTGAGAAGTCACAAGATGCACACATTCAGTACTGGATGAGGGCTTACTCTCTGCTTTATAGAGGGCAAATTGTTGGTCCTCACATGGCAGAAGGAACAAGGAAGCCTTTGGGTGTCATTTATAAATATACTAATCTCACTCTCTGGGATCCTCTCTCCTGGACCTCATCACCTCCCAAAGAAGTCAGCTCTTCATTTTAGTGCATTAGGGATTAAGTTTCAATGTGTGGTTTGACAGACATTCAGACAAATAGCAGCCCAATTTAGGGGAACAAGAAAGAGGTGAGAGACCCAATCCCTACATCAAGGAATTTATAGTCTTATCAAGAGACACACAAATTTAGTTGCCATCGAAGGACACAGAACAATGTCTTAGGTGGGGAGTGGGCTGGGTAGCCAGGTCCCACTAAGGCAGACTAAATAAGCAACAGTGGCAGGGAGGATATCAGTACAAGTTAAGACCAGTCCCCAAAGTGAATTGGTCACTGGCTGTTCTTTCAGTGACTTCCATCCAACCTGTGCTTCACCCCAACATCCCTCCCCAGACTCAAGTGTCATTTCTATGACTTGAAGCTGCCTGTTGCTACAGTGCAGATACACGCAC